CTAAGTAGGATGAGGTATATGCGTTATATTCGCTATAGGACATTACGAGTTTTAGATAAAAATAGTAACAAGTACATAAATATATGCCTACATTTTAACTCGATGTGTTGCATGCGTGGATCTCGTTTGTCACGCTGGCCACCATCGCAGTGCCAGCAAAAATAAAAACAATTCCTGATTTACTTCTACAGTCGCAAGTAGTAAGTACATACGAAGCGACGATGAGTTGGTGGTGGTGGGTAGGTATACGTGTATGGGTCCACCTAATCGCAGAAAGGGAGCCAAGTTGAGCACGCGAGCGTAGGGGGGGCGACAAAAAAAAAAAAAAATCGTAATAATCGAGTGTTGCTCCGTACAAGCAGAAAGAGCGATGGTTAAGGGTGGGAAGGGGGTGCCGAAGCTCGGTCGTGCTTGCGATTCGCGGAATATTACGTGACCTGAATTCGCGATCCTTGATGCGCGCCGGCGCGACAGTTGTATATCGTGGCTCTCCGCGGAGCATCAGTCGTCGTGCATGTACCATGTATAGGTACATATATATATATATATTACAAGAGAAGCGCCGTTGCTGCAACAAAGGCTATTATCTTAATTATTCGACGCCTCATCTGTCGATTTACCCGAGTTTACCGTCAGATAGAGAATTCAGCGCGTCACGTGCGCATCGCCCTTTACGACTGAGAGGCCATAACATATATATAATATGGCAGCAGTATAACGTGTTCCACATTACACGCGGATTTGCACGCCTGCCAGTCCACGCCGTTACCTATATTACATTATGTTCACCCATATACGCGTGTACAGTATCGTGTGTGTGTGCATATATATAGCACACATAGGTGTATACCAATTACACGTATGGTTTAGGTGCTCTGTATATATACCTACTACCTATACCGCGCGCCCGCTCCGACTATCAATTTCACGCGTCTCGTTTCGGGGTGTACACGATTCCCCCGCGTGCAACGTCACGTGCACCTGATGCATCAGCCTCGAATGACGCGCCCACTCTAAACGTGCCCGCGTTGAGTATAATATAGGGTATACCTATACCTATATACATTGAAACCGCAGGGCTGTTTTTCTCCATGCCATCGCCGACTAATTGTCATTGAAATTTTGGGCTTTCGCGCGCAGCCGAACCTTATTGTCATAGACCTACCTATACGTATATCTCCATGTGAGAGTAGCTTATACTTGTAGGTATATCTGTCGAGGTCTCGATGAGCCCGATAAAACGAATAGGCGGCGTGATTCACGTCACGCTGCACACATGTGCACCCCCATCCCTCGTCATTATTTTGTCCGTATGATGGTGTTGCTCGTGCTATTCTACATATTATAATACAAACGTTAGCAGAGTGCGTTGCATGCGACAATGTTTCTTTTTTTTTTTTTTTTTTTTAAAAAAAAAAAAAATTTGTTAAATCTATGGCNTTTTTTTTTTTTTTTTTTTTTTTTTTTTTTTTTTTTTTTTTTTTTTTTGTCGCTGTACCTCGCGAGAGGCTTATGTTATTACGTCTTACTTATTTATGCGTGTTAAAAGAGTTCATTGCTCGTGCGTCGACCGACCCGAGCGATGAACTCTGCTCTTTAAAACCTCTTTTCGATGCACAGCTCTCTCTCTCTCTCTTGGTGCATTGAAAATGAAGAATTAGGAATGGCAGGGGGGAGAGAGCAGTAGACTGAAATGTCGTTAGTCATCGTGATATTGAGAATCAAACTCTGTTTGTCCCTCGATACTTACCGCATTCATTTGTACAGTATATAAATATATGCAGTATAACGCAATCCTCAATTAAGTTGTTTTTACCTTCAAATATTTGCACGGCTTTTGGCCCCTCCATCTAATACATACATATTAATTATAACGTTACACCACGTATATTATGTAGATAAAAGCCATACGCGTCACGATCCACGATTGCTGAATCGCTCCTACTTTTTACACTTTTTTTTCTCTCGATGTATTTGTCGACGACTTTTTCGTTTCAAATGCAACCCCGACATTGACACGAGGACACTTTTTACCCTTTAGCACCGATGTATAGCCATTATGTATATCCACCTTGAGCCACTGCTGTTTCCAATCGACTCTTCCTCCTCGTGATGTATATTCCCAGCCCCGAAACAGAGAGACTCTACATCCTTGCCGCTTCCAACGCTGCGCTGTCTGTTCCGCCCTGTGTGCGTCGCAGGACTCTCTAGAGCCACGCAAGCTCTCCCGCGCGTGAAATAATGCAAGCGCGTGCTCGTAAAATTCAACCGCGGGACGTTTTTAGGAGCCAGACAGTCAGCGACTCTCGAATTTGCCAATCTTCGCGTAATGGCTTTTTTTTTTTTAGGGTACAGGTACATATATAGGTGCCCATCTGCTGTCGTTGCGACTCCGCGGTTTCCGACGTTATCCATACACGGTGCACAGACACACGGCTATTGCTCCGCTACGAGACACATCAAGTATGGATAAGTGCCGTGCAATGGCGCGCGGGCAAACCAATTCACTTATATACCCGGCGCTTACGGTGCGCTCGACCTGCCGCGAATGGCCGGACCTGCAGTTTCAATGTCCCGAGACAGATGATCTCCGCGCGCCGCCCATTTGTACGCGCCCTCGAGTGTATTTTAAATGACGCCCTGAAATGCCCTCGTGTGCCATTGTACGGGCAAATCGCCGAGGTCGCGGATGATGCGAGCCAATCATCGGAACATTGACATCCGTCACGCTAACAAATGGCCCAGGTGTACGTGTACACGCTCAAACAATCTTGCATCGAGCCCGTACTCAATGCCAGTACTTTTGCAAAATCAATACTATCGCGTTCACTTATACGTGCGTCTATAATATAAGAGCATCGGGGTAACTTGGGTGGGCTTGGTTACTTACTCACTTACTTTCCTGTCGAAAAACGTCGGGCGCAAAGCTCTCCGGAGAATCGCGAGACCGGGAAGGGCTTAAAATTTATCGCGCTGGAGCGAAACTATAGGTATACAGGCGTACAGCCCCGCCGAGTGCAAAAGACTTGCCGTACACATAATATACAGCGCGCCGAAACTTGTGTATTGTATGGGGGCCCCCTCCCCCACACCCCAAAACTGTTGTTACCTTAATCGCATTAGGCATGAGAGCATACCTGCCGAGCTATATATATATACGTATGGGATCCTCCACTTGAATTTCTTGGCAAATCCATCGGGTTATAATTAGCCGGCTCGGTTTGGAGCCCGTAGCAATCGCAATTTAATTGTGACTTCTCCTCCTCATTGGACCCGCGCCCCCCCTTGACAAACGATGCAGCAGTCCTTCCCCCATAACGATATTTTCTTTGAAAGCCCCGCTCTCGCCCGATCCCGGAGTTATACTAATTCCCCGGCCAACTTTTTGCCGGAGGGATTACCAGCGGCGGAGGGCCGAGCTAGTGAAAACTATCAATTACACAATAGCCGGGGCGCAAAGTCGACTTTGCACTTTTGTTTTCTTTTAATTTATTTAGTTGACCCCCCCCCCCCCCGCCCCCGGTGATCCGACATTTTGCAGCGAAAGAGGGTGGGGGAGGGAGAAAAAAGGAAAAAATCCATTTACCCGCTTATAACCCTCGGGCGCTCGTTTCTCGGAAATTCAGAAACACAAGCAGCCCCACGGGGCGAAGGGAAAATAAGGGACGGAGCTGGGCTTCAAAACAACCGCGAAATTCACGAGCTCGCGCGGTCGGCGCACTAAATCTGGGCCGCAAAACGAATCCAGCCCCCCCCCCCTTACCGTACCCTCGTTGTGTAAGTACGTGTGCATGCAGCCCTGTCACGTGAGGCAAACGTAAGCGCGAGTCGCGCCGTATATTGCGTCGCGTGTCTTCCAGCAACAATGTCCCAGCCCCTACACACTCGCATTCCCAGCGATACCCCGACGCCACTGTGCTGTGCTGTTTGTACCTATATATAAGGGCATTGTCGCGCGAGGGGTTGACTGCCGTAGCAGTAGGGTCGGAGTGTAAAAGAAAAAAAAAAGGTTCGGATGAAAGCGAGGAAAAAAAGGTGCGGCAGTGCGCGGGCCGGGGGAATCAAAAAGTCGCACCGTAGAGACGCTCTTTCCGCGACGGAGGAATCAAGAGCGCGAGCGTGCATATATATACGGTAGGTGTGTATATGTATACATGTGGGGCGCGAGGATGTTTTTGTAATGCAACTGCCGCCTTGAGAGCAACCAGCCTTGCTGCTGCTGCTTGCCCTTTTTTTTACGGAAAAAAAGTTCACCTTTGTCTCGGCGGTGGTGCCGACGCCAGGGACTTTCTTCTTGATTAGACTTAATTAATGATGAAGCGGCAAAAACATTTTACGATTCTTCCTCCCTTCCTTCTTCCTCTTTTATCGTTAGTGTTGCGTACATAGTCACATTTGCCCTTTTTTTTCACGCTTTGGTGCATCATGTATTAAATGAAAAATAAAGCTCGAGCTTTGTACGGCCAAGAGCTTTTGTTGTCTCTGTTACGTGATAACAACATCTAGTGCCAGTCCTTTTTTTTTTTTTTTTTTTTTTTTACATGAAGTATTTACTATGAAAGGCAAGCAATACGTTAAATTTCATGTCCAACCAGTAAGCTTCATCTTTCTCCAAATGACATGAATATTTTTATTAATAGATACTCGAAATGAATGAAAACGTAATAATTTTGGACCTCACCTTTTACCATTAGATGCTTTAAGTTAAATCCGGTACAGTCCAAATAAGCTGTTATCCCGATAGTTTTCCAGCTTTTTCGATGTAGGTACACAGTGTAATTAATGTTAGCGTGCATGCAAGTTAATCCCTTAATTCGTAAAATATAACGTATTGATGAATACACACTGCAGCTGTTGGGTATTATAAGCTATACGTATTGGAGCGCCGCAATGTCCATCGATTGTATTTATCCATGTATATAATATAAAGCAATGAATAAAATTGGAGCGTGTAAAAAGTAAGTGTATGTCGACGTGATAATATGTGTGTTTCCCAACAGGGCGCCGATTGCAGCAAGAGCATGTGCCGGGTGCTGTGCTCGAGCCACGGCCAGTACGGAGGCGGCATGTGCCACTGCGAGGAGGGCTGGAAGGGCGCGGAGTGCGACATCCCGCTCGGCGACTGCCAGGTCCCCGACTGCAATCAGCACGGCCAATGCGTCCGCGGCTCCTGCGTCTGCAACCCCGGCTGGAAGGGCGACTTTTGCTCCGAGCGTGAGTATCACCCACCGCGCATATAAATTAAATACGTACACCCACATCCCCCTGGACTATAATCCGTCCGAGCCTGCAGCCCGTTGGATTTACGGGGGAGCTTGATGAGAAAAAGCCTCCCTCGCGTAAATTCGCGTCCATCTCTAGCGCATACCGAGTCGCCGACGCTGCGCGTGGATTATTTATAACGCAACTTCGGAGCTTCCCCCCCTCCTTTCCCCCTTCTCTTCGCGGGGGAATGACAATGAGTCCGTACTTACCTATAGGCCGTATACTATTCGGAAACTAAACTGCGGGCATAGTTTGGAAGATTGAGCTATTACGGCAATCACGCGGCTGTTTGGGCCCGATTTGTTCGCCAACTCTTCCCGGAACACATGTTATATATACACGTGATTGTCTGCACTCGACTCAATCGCAATTGATTGGGGGAGGGGGGGGGATGGGTGATTATACATGGGTGGATGTACTTCGAGGTCATCTGCGACCGGTTTTCTTTCTTCTTCCCCGATTGATTTGCCCATGCGAATTTGCAATTTTGATTGTTCGGTATTGTAATTACTCGCGCGGCACTCGGCGTGCACCGGAAACTCGAAGCCGCGACGTTTAATCATAATTTAGCCCCGACAAATCTATACGCGTATATGCGTGCAATATATATATTATTCCGATTTCATTCGATCGGCAATGAGATCACCGGCGGTTTCGACGTTTCTGCGTATATATATACGGCCTGTGTACAATCAGCGTGCGTGCCAGATGTGACAGCGGATGTTTCAATTATTGACGGTCGATGATGAATATGGAATGAGCCATTTTTCAAGTAAAATTAGACCGCCGAGAACAAGCGAGAAAGAGAGAAAAAAAAAAGTGAGAATAATATAATCGAAGATCTCGATTTTCACGCGCAGTACGCGATCGGTACGGATGTGGGTATTTTTGTCCGGCAAAGTTGGATGCATTAAAGTATGCCAAATCCGATAACGCGGAATTGAATCTACGTGTAGGTATCTATTGAACATTTTATTTTTAACGGAATAACGAAGAGGCGAATCGGAATAAACGTACAATACCGGGGGAGCGGAGCTGCGGGAAAATATATAAATGCAAAAAAACATTCTCATTGTTTCGCTGGAAAAAAAAAAAGAAAATTTCTCATTGCCATAACTCTGAGGTGAAACCATGCGATGAATATAATTTTTACGAAGCGTAATGCAATTATACGATGCAAAAAACACGATAAATGTTGTCGACGCGTTCACCAAAACTGCTTTGCCGATACTTTTTAATATAGAAATCAGTTTTCCAGCGCAAAGTCGCAGTTAACCTCCAAACGATGGAGTTTCATGAATATTCAAGCACAAATTCGCAAACACGCGACCGCTTAACTTTTGAAATTCATTTAGCTTGAGTACGGGTCGTACACCGTGCGAGTGCATACACATCAGAAAGTATATTATCAACTTGGGATGGAGAGTGCCAATAACGGTAGAGCATGTAGGGCAGAGCAATACAAACAATGTGTAATATGTGCTAATAGTAGGTGTAAATGTGTGCTGCCCACAGCGGACTGCCCGGACCCAAGCTGCAGCGGACACGGGGCCTGCGTAGCTGGCAAGTGCTACTGCAAGGCCGGCTGGCAGGGCGAGCGGTGCGACCAGGTGGACGAGCAGGTATACAAGTGCCTGCCCGGCTGCTCGGACCACGGGACCTACGACCTCGAGAGCGCCTCGTGCGTGTGCGACGAGCACTGGACCGGCGTAGACTGCTCCCAGCCGAGCTGCGGCCTCGACTGCGGCTCCCACGGCACATGCGAGAAGGGCCGCTGCAAGTACGTTATATTGTATACATACCCCCATCACCGCTATACTCGTCACACTGTACCACCTTTTGCGGATGCTCTCGAGTGTTTATGTATCATCTTCAACAGGTGCCACGACAACTGGACCGGCACTAAGTGCGACCAGAAGCCCTGCGACCCCCGCTGCGCCGAGCACGGCCAGTGCAGAAACGGCACCTGCGTCTGCAGCCAGGGATGGAACGGCAAGCACTGCACTCTACGTAAGTCCACGTCATGGCTGTTTATCGACTCCTTTTATCGAGTTATCATTACGCGGGGTATTTTCGGGGGAAAAGGTGAGACCCGGAGCTATACGGATGCTCGGGTCGATACGGGGAAGGTTTTTCGGCTGAAATACCAAAGGCCGGCAACAGACTAAATTTAATCGTAGGTATACACTATAACGCGTGTCGCTCGATCGGGGACGCGGAGAGTAAAAAAATATAAAAAAATAGTACCCTGTAGGGGAGGAAACGTGGAAAAGAGAAACGAGGGAAACAAGAGGAATTCTCGTTAAGGGGCTACCTGTATTTGGCAGAGGGTGTACGTGGTATAGGTGCCGGGTGCTGCACTCGAGAGAAGTAAAACGATTAACTCGGGGCGTAAATTTTCCTTTTCAGCGGGCTGCGAGAACAAATGCAGCGGACACGGCTCGTGCACGCCCGTCGGCGGGGAGTCCAGCTGCGAGTGTCTGCCCGGCTGGGCCGGCCGGGACTGCAGCATTCCCCTTGAAATGGACTGCGACGACGACATAGACAACGATGGCGGTGAGATAATCAAATAAATTTCGCTTCAATATTCCACCCTCCTCTCCGAGTGGTACACATATACGCGCTCGCCCTCTATAAATGCCGTTTTTCGAGGGGTTCGCAAATTTTTTTTTTTCCCCCATTTGCCGGAGCGGCTTTTTGTCGTGTCGCGCCCCTGTCCTGCATTGTGCTCCGGGAGATAGCTTTTTGCGGCTGTGCGAACGCTTCGGGGATGATGCCGTGACGTTTCGATGTTTATAATTTTGCCGAGCGAATAATTCCGCGCTTTTTTCGCGGATGCGGTAACTTCAATCCCGTAATGCGAGATATTAATACGCTAACGCTTCCGCCTACTGGCTCGCTCTTTCGGCTTTAATATTTTTTCCCTCCTTTTAATAATAACAGAGACCGCGGATTTTTCAAATCGACAGCTCCGGCATTCAATTAATTTCCCTTTTTTTTTAATTCATGATAAATTTGAAATGTGCACGGCTCTTTTCTCCAATAACCGATACCACAAATAATGCCCGCGCGAGACAGTCCTTTTCCGTTTGCAATTGGAAAATAAAACAGCTGGGGAGAGGCTTGCCCGTGCTTTTCGTGCCGAGAGCCAGAAGTAACTTTGGATTGTTCGAGTTTATTAAATTTGGAAAAGTTACCCCATCGGCAACTGCCAACGCGATGATGTCGACCAATATCGAGGAGAAATAAAACCATGAATAAGTACTGCACCTATACTCATCTTAAATGCATAAGCTGTGAAAAATATTTTTCCGATCGCCTGTGTGAAAATAAACGCGCATGTGGGAAGACGTACAATCGAAGTATTGTATACGACACCCAAAAGCGCTGCAGCGTTTGATTACATCTGTTTGGTTAATTGACGCTAACACGATGGGCATCAATTGTTCGCATCAACAACTCGTAAAGAGTGTGCAGTATCAAAGGTTCGCGGCTCGGAAACACTCGGTGTGTATACTTGTTGGGATGCCGGGCCGTAATCATCTCGTTATTCGCTTCCCATGTGCATGCGTATACAACAATGGAAAGCGCTTGGAGCAAAAATCTACATACTGAACGCGGTGGTAATAAAATTTTGTTTTTTTCCGCGTGGGATGTATCGCACGTGTATGGGTACTTGTTATACGTATACCCTCGTATCTGCACGCGGGACTGCAAATTAAGCAATTAAAGCGTCGAATCCCCCCCCCCCCAACGCTCAATACGCACAGATGATAGCGCTCGGCCTCGCTTTCCCGAGACGTCTCGTGTTGCGGTATCATTACCACACAATAATACAATGGAGTCCTCCGTACCTATATATATGTACCTCACGGTGGGCGATCAAGATTTTTACGACCACCCAAACGGGAAATCGCAAATTATCGTCAAGCCCACTTGCGCTCGCAGCACGGGGTCTAACGTTAATCATTTCCGATGTAAACGATAAAAATTTCACAAGGGGTGAGTAAGGAAAAAGTATATTACATTATATCGATGATCCTCGCAGATGGTACAAAAGACTGCTCGGACAGCGAGTGCTGCTCGCAGTCCGTGTGCGCGGATCATTTGATGTGCATAGCCAGCAAAGACCCGGTCGAGGTCCTGTTGCGCAAGCAACCCCCGAGCGTCACGGCCACCTTTTACCAGCGCGTCAAGTTCCTCATCGAGGAGAACAGTGTCCAGAGCTACGCCCGTATCGACGAGTACAGCGAGAGGTAAGGAGTCTCACTCGTACGTTATATATATACATCCCCATCAGCGACGCTCTGTTATACTTAATTACGTACACATTTTATATGATATGATATATATATATATACTTTATCTATTATTTATATGTAATATGTAATATTGATATTGTCTATATGAGCGATATTACATGAGTTTGGTACAAGAGCGAGGAGCGGCGGCTCCGCACGTGTGTGACCGCTCCTTTGTGCATTTATTTATCGAATTAGATATACGGCGTGCACTTGCGCGTATACATCAACGTATAAATGCGGGGGCTCGTTCGCAAAGGGACGCGCGCGCGCCCCCAGCCGGGGGAAGAAAGGAAAAATTTTTAATCAAACTCTCCCGGTCGGCGGGTGAAATTAAGGTCGGAAAAAGTCGAGCTGAAAAGGAGGAACGCGCGCACACCTGTATATATATATATGGATACATATACATGTAGAGAGCCCCGCTCGACTCTTTCCTCCTTTGCGCGCGTCTTCTTTTTCTTCTTCTTCTTACTTTTTCCTCCGGCCTCGGCTGCGTAAATCAATACGTGTACAACAATACACGCGCCACTTATCTTAGACTTGGGATATCACGTTGTTATTATTATTATTATTCTTTGCATGCCTCTAGAGACATACATGTGTTCGCGTGATGGGTGTATACACAAACGTGAATTTACGCAGCCAGGATGATCGATCGAGGCACGTATATAATATTTTCAACAAAATTTTCAAGATCAGCATAAAAAAACGTGTTGTGTTACAAAGGGCACTTTCATCCGATGTCGCTGCGCCCTCTTTAGCATTCAAAGCGGGAAATCTCGTCGTAAAATTAATAACAAGAGAGACCTTACCCGCGGCAGGGGCTCGGGGAATTCTTTCGCGTTTCATGCAGAATCTTTTATAACGAGCCGAGATCGAGCATCCCCTTCCTTCCCCTTCGCAACGTGAATGGATAAGAAAAGTAGCGTCTGAAGTGGGCGGGCTGTGCACGATCGGAAGAAAAGAGGAGGAAGGAAAAAATAAGAAGGAGAATATACGCGTACCCGCCAATCTGTTTCATTAAATGCAAAGTGTGGATTTGGCACGAATGAGAAAAAAGAGACGGATAAGATGAAGGTAAACAAAAAAAAAAACAAAAAAAAGAAGCGGAAAACAACAAGAGCAGAGTTTAATTTGGGGGGGGGGGGGTTGTGAGTCGAAAAGTACATAGTATGTAGAGAAGAAGAAGAAGAAAAAACACATACATCATGGAGTGTATAAGAGTGAAAAGGAGGATGGTAAAAAAAGGAAAGGAAAGAAAAAAAAAAAAAAACTAAAAGGGAGAAAACCCTCTTTGAGCCTTCCTCTGCTCCCTGTGTATCACCTCCCCCTTCTTGCCCCCCTGCGAATGCCAGAAGCACTGAAATCACCTCGGAAGCACGCCGATCAAAGGACCCGCTATTTGCCCTTCCGTTCGACTCGCTCTCTCTACCCCGGAGCTATGGGGATATCCTATCGAGCGGTGGAACCGGCTCCTTGCGCTCGTGAAAATTCACGAGGAAATTAACTCGCACCACCTCGGCTATTTATTTTTAATATTATTTTCATACCCATCACCGTTGTTTCTGCTTTTTTTTTTTTTTTTTTTTTTTTTTTTTTCAATCGGATATGTCTCTCAGCTCGATTGCTCGTATACGCGCGTCTTTCTGTGTTTGGTTACACTTACCTCGGGTGCACATCGCACAATCGCTCTTAGGGCTTTCGCGAATTCACGCGGATATACATCGAGTTACACACCCAAAGTGCTTGGGTATGTATATGTATTTGTTGAAAGTCGTCGTACCGTGTACCTTTGCTCGTGTGTTTCGCGTAATAATAGAGAGCTACTCGACCATACGCGACGAGGCTGCAGTCAAAGCATTTCAAGTTATTTGTTTCTCTCGGTGCTGCTCTCCCGGGGTGCGGGAACCTGTGAAATTCTCAAAGTGCCTCTGGTGTTGGCGGGATTCGTGTTCGTCGTCTAGTGTTGCTCTTTTGTGTATAACCCACCTGACCCAATACCTCAAACCCTTCTCTGAGCCCACAGTGGCTTCAACTAGCGGGACTGTCAATAAAGTTAACAACGTCAAAGGACTTTTTTTTAATTTATTTAAATTTTTTCATTTATTTATTTTTATTTTTTTTTTTCAAGATAGGTCGAGTATCACGTTGTTTTTTTATGCTTTTCTTGTGGCAACTAATTCCTTTGACTTTTTTTTCCTGTCCGATCAATAAGAGTCGTAATCAATTTCGTTAGATAAAAGCATTCTTTTACTTTTTCACCATTTAAAGAAAAAAAAAAAAGTGTTATTATTTGCAGTATCTATCAAAAAAAGTTTTATTTCGTTTTTCGTGCAAATGAAAATAAATTACACAGTTGCCAACATTTATTTGCTGGATAATATTACGTTTCACATCAAAAACGTCACAAGCGCTTTCAATCAGAGTTGGCTGACAACTGAAACTAAATGAACGCTTTGTTACAGCTCAAATTTTCTTTCCCCATCATTTTTTTCTATTCTGGTTAAAAAAATAATTTTTAAAGTAAAAAAAAAAAAAATTCGATGATTCAATCCTACGCGAGAGATTTGTCGGAAAGCCTATGTGAAATATCAGAAAAGACGAAAAATCAGCTCTCGCTACTTTACAAAGAGCAAATACGTGTATCGATTTCGGTTCTTTCATTTTTTCGACCAAAAAGCTCCGAAAAAACCGGAACTGAATAAAAAACAAAAGTAAAACGAAAAAAATTTCCAATAACCCGTGCGCGTACAGGGAGCCAAAAACCATACGTTTGCTTTAGTTTCAGTTCGAAGCCCCGCAAAAACTCAAAGCAACTAAAAATATTAAAAAAAAAAAAAAAAAAAAAAAAACACCCAAT